TTAGAACAAATTTGAGGCTTCTTAGGTAAAAAACCCACCATGTTATAGTGGGATGAATTCTATCCTCATCTGTCACTATCCTATTACTGCAGATTCCAAAGAGAGAATCTGGAATGACTATTTTTCTTCTACAACTTACGGAAGCAATTTCTGTGACTTATGGGAATACTGGCCCCAGAAAACAAAGCTCATGATTTGAGTCAATCTACCTTTTTACTCTCATCTCCTTGTTGCTTCTTTTTTTCCCATGTTCTCAGTGTACCAATATAAATGATCATTTCTCAAAACCACCCAGGGCATGCCATGTACTTGCTGTAGATCCTGGTCAGCCTTCCTTTTCTCTGCCTGAAGCATATTACCTCTTAAAATCAGCTCCTTGGCACCTATTTGCAATTTTATTTTCTGAAGAGCTCACAGGATTTTATTATATTTTAACTTTATATATAGTACTTTTAGATTCTTTAAATATTTGGATGCTAGTATGTTTCCTGTTTGATCTATGACTTTCATAAAGGCATGAGCCATGTATTATTTCATTCAGTGCTTAGTGCATAATAGATGCTCAAAAAATATCTGGTGATTAAAATGCATAACAGGGAAAAATAAGCTTGTGAAATAAAAACTGAATGAACAACTCTATAAGCCGTTCACCATATCTCCACTAATCCAGATGGATTTTGTGATTCAAGGAAGAGGAAAATATGTTGAGGGGTCCTGGAAAGGTGGTGAAAGAAATTAAGAGTTAATTTGTAATCTCTAGAGCTAATAGAGAAATGTTTCAAACATGTTTTCCTTGTTTCAATTAAACTTACAATATAGCCCAAATAAAGAGACTGTGGTTTCTTGCCTGTTTTGCTGTGATTCTTGAAACATCAGGATTCAATGGGTCCATCAGCTGAACTTGGGGATATATCTTATTTTTCAAGATTGGAAGAAAAAGACATTCCCGTTGAGTTTAAAAAGACTGGATCAAGGTGAAAATTGATGGTATCTGCTGTTGATTACACATAGTGGTGGTTTTAAGATGGCACAACATTTTTTGACAACTTTCTATTGAAAGGTAAGGTGCTGTATTCCTTCTTGGCTAATGGAACATGACAGAGTGACATGGTCAGTTTCTGCATGCAGAAAGTGGCAGCTTCCACTTCCTGTTTCTTTGGACACTCACTCTCGGAACTTGGCACCACGTGTCAGGAAGCCCAGGCTGCCTTATGGAGAGGACAGTGTGGGCAAGAACATTGATCGGGACCAGTCTGCCTGCCATGTGAACAGAGCCATGCCGAGTGGATTCCTTCCCCATCCCGACCTATCCCTGCACCCCTTGTGGTCCTACGACTGCCTTCACCATAGCGGGAAGTATAGGCATGAACTTGAAAAACATTTCCTGTGGGTAGTTATGCTCATGGTTACTATTTTCCTCCTATCTGAACTCAAATTATTCATCAACTAATATAAACATACAGTGTGCTATGCCGATAGAAGGCAGACAAAAGGTTTATTACTGATCTTTGCAATCTGTTGATATTAAGACAAAATTTGGCCACCTGGTAATCATATTGAATCTCTTCTTTTAAAAAACCTTTCCCCCTCTTTTCCAGGACCATAATAATGAACACATACATGACCTATTTAGAACAGTTAATACTGTTCTCTAACAATTCCAAAAGTCTTACATTTTTTCAATGTTGTTGTAAAATGTAAACAACAGGCTAGTAATCTCATGGCATTCAACATACAGAAACTATATTTAACCTAAGAAAAAGTAAAATATTAGGAAAGTGACACTTCAGAAATAAAACTAAATTTCTACTTGTATCTAGTTGCATTTATAATGTATTCCAAATAACATGAATATGATATATCTTTATAGATATATTTTAAGTCAGTACTTCCATAAACATAGATAATTGGGTGGTACCATTTATATTTCTAAGCACAAAGTCCTTTGGCTCACCCCAGCTTATTAAGTAGAATTGACAAATAAAATCATGTGTACTTACAGTGTACAGCATATTTTGAGATGTGATTCCATTGTGAAATGGTGAATCTAATTAACACATTCATTACCTCACTTACTTACCGTTTTTCTGAAGGACCAACATATAAGATCTACTCTCTTAGCAATTTCAAGTATACATTATTATTAACTTAGTAACCATGCTGTACAATAATAGATCTACAAGAACTTATTCATCCTGTTTAAGTGAAAACTTTGTACCCTTTACCATCTCCTGTAAAATGTATTATTGCTACAAATTTAAACTTACTCAGATGGTTAAACTAATGTCTCCTCTACTTAGATTTGGGAGAAAGGGCCAAGAACAGCAGGAGTGTTACCCCCTGCATGAACTCTAAGCTCTGATACCGATCTGAAAATTTGGATTTCTCTTCAAAGCTCATAGGCAATTAATCAAAACCACTATCATCGGAAAACAGTGGTTTATCCTTTCATAATTTCTTTTACTATTTCCTGCGAAATCATAAAGTGCGTGCGTGTGTGCGTGTGCATATGGGTGGGGTTAAAATGTTTACCTGTTGGGGAGTATTAAGTAGTAGATAAATTCTTGATTTGTTTTTTCATTGTAATTCATCCTAAAAGGACATTACTTAACAATGCCCATCAAATGTTACTGAAACAAGGCTCACGGTTTCGTAAGGTATTGTATATAAATGCTGCTGCCATAACTTCAGAGAGCAATAATGAAGTGGCAAATTTCTGGCACCATAAGATAAAGCCCACTTGGTCTAAGGCTGCTGAAAACTAAAAAACCAATCTTCTAACTTCCATTCACACAAACTTAGAAAAATAAAATGCTGAAACACTCAATATCTGTCATACCTGAATAGTCCTGCCTGAGCATCAGCATGTAGGTAGTTGATTGATTTTTTACGAGAGAGGGATGAGTCTGTCTTCCCAGCTGATGCTACAGTAGAGAGGGAGACTGACTTCTCTCTTTGAGCAGGAAGATGACACAATGTGGGTGGAATGCTCCCTGGGATATGGACTGACAAGGAATCTTCTACGAATCCCAGCACTGAGCATTAATTTCTCTCTTTCTTTTAAGTGTAAAAGGTCATACACTTTATAAGAGCATGGTCAGAAAGTAAGCAATGCTTAAATGTGCCATATTTTTTGACCACCCATGCAAGAAAATAGGTGGTACGGAAGAAGCTCAGGGAAGATATTTTATTGATGAAGCATCAATAAATCAGACATATAGATGAAATTTTCCTGAAACTACACATCTTCAAATATAAGGAAAACTCTTTGAGCTGAAACATATTTTGGATCTAGGAAAGCTCTGGTCATATGAGAGAAATAATTGAAAACACCCGAGCCTTACACACCGCTTGTTCCATGTGTTCTATTACAAACCTTTGAGGCAAAGAGATTGGGAGGGAAGTCTGTTAGGGCGTGAGGTTGCTTGTT